AAGACAAATACCTTATGATATCACTTATGTGGAATCTAAAAAACAAACTAGTGAATATAACAAAAAAAGAAAGAGATTCACAGTTAACTCCAGTGGTTACCAGTGGGGAAAGGGAAGCAGGAGGGGTAAGATAAGAGTAAGGGATTAAAATTTGCAAACTATTATGTATAAAATAAATGATCTATGAGGATATAATGTACAACATAGGGAATACAACCAGCATTTTAAAACTATATAAGGAGTATAACTTTAAAAATTGTGAATCAGGAAGAACTGATGCTGAAGCTGAAACTCCAATACTTTGGCCACCTGATGCGAAGAACTGACTCATTTGAAAAGACCCTAATGCTGGGAAAGATTGAAGGCGGGAGGAGACAGGGATGACAGAGAATGAAATGGTTGGATGGCATCACTGACTCAACAGACTAGAGTTTGAGTAAGCTCTGGGAGTTGGTGATGGACACGGAGGCCTGGTGTGCTGCAATCAATGGGGTTGCAAAGAGTCAGACATGACTGAGTGACTGAACTGAATTGAATGTTGTAAGCTGTAACATATAATATTGCACATCACTGATACTTCAGTTTTTTAAAAATTGGAAAAAAAAAAAAGCCACTAAGATGCCCTTCATTGGGAGAATGGATAAACTGTTGTCCATCTAGATAACAGAATGTTATTCATTGCTAAAAAGAAATGAGCTATCAAGCTATGAAAAGACACAGAAGAATCTTAAATGCTTATTACTATGTGAAAGAAGCCAGTCTGGAAAGGCTACATAGTGTGTGATTGCAACTGTATGGCATTCTGGAAAAGGTGAAACTATGGAGACAGTAATAAAGATCTGTGATTGCTAGAGGTTGGGGTCATCAGAGAAGGATGAATAGATGGAGCACAGAGGATTTTTAGGCAAGTGAAAATACTCTGTATAATACTATAATGGTGCGTACATGTCATTATACAATTTGTCCAAACCCACAGAATGTACAACGCCAAGAGTAAACCCTAAGGTAAACCATGGACTTTGGGTGACTATGATTGTCAATGCAGGTTCATCAGTTGTAACAAATGTATTACCCTGGTGGAGCTGTTACCTGGCAGAGGCTATGCATGTGTGGGGGTGGGGAGGAACAGGGAAATTTCTGTTCAGACCTTCCTCTCAACTTTGCTGTGAACCTAAAACTGCTCTTAAAAAAATAGTCTTTAAAAAAAAATTTTTTTTTTTGGCTGTGCCATGTGGTTTGCAGGATCTTAGTTCCCCGACAAGAGACTGAACCTGGGCCAACGCAGTGAAAGCACTGAGTCCTAAACACTGGACCACCAGGGAATTCCTTTAAAAAAATTTTGTTTTTAAGCAGACTGTAAAACCACGTATGGTAAGACCCTGGTTTTATAAAATATACAAAAGTGTAAAGGAAGAGACACACCATATTAACAATATTTATGGGACTTCCCTGATGGTCCAGTGCTTAAAACTCCACTCTTCCAATGCAGGGGGCACAAGTTCGATCCCTGGTCAGAGAACTAAGATCCCCCATGCTGTGCAGCCCAGACAAAAACAAAAACCCAGTATTTATCTCTGAATGATATGATTCCACAGGGATCATTCATTTATTTATATTTGTTTCTGAATTTCTTACTTATACTTTCCAAGAAAGTTTAGCAAAGAATACACATTACTTTTATTACTAGGAAAAAAACCTGAATAAGAATGATAAATTTAAAAAGTCCTGAGATGGGAAGAAAGTAACCAGAGCAGATGAAGCCCCAGCCTTCGCTAACCCTTTTTTCACATCTGTGGCTTAATAGCCGAGAGGCAGAAGAGGTTTTCTGTCCAGCTGGCTGACTGTCACCTGTTTGCCTTCTTCCGTGGGGAAGGCCCTCACAGAGAAGTCAGGGCATGCCCAAGGTCATGGACTCATGTTGCCTCTGCACCTCATCCAGTGAGGCTGCCCCGGGCTGTCACCTGGACTCAGCAGGGTCTGGCCTCCAAGGTTCACGGGGCAAAAGGAATCCCCTTGACCTTCCCATCACCTGGACTGTGACACTCTAACTGCCTGAGATCCTGGTTACTAACTAGAGGCAGGATGGCATCTAGCACCGCAAGTGCCCACTTTGGACCAAACTGGCCTGAGCTGGAGTCCTCGCTCAGCACTCACCAACTGTGTTCCCTTGGGCATGTTGCTTCACCTCTCTCAACCACAACATTCTTATCTCTACCACAGGATTAAATTAAATAACAGTTCCAGCACACACCCTGGCACAAAGTCAATTCATATCCATTTTCTCTCCTCCTTCCTTTTACATTTGCTACAAGAGAACTCAGTTCTCTATCTCTGTCCCCCTGCCTCCAGGAGCTCAAAGAGCAGAGTCTGGAGGCTCCTAGATCTCTCCTCCCCACCCATCTGGGCCTCTGCTCCTCCTCAGTCATCAAACAGTCCCTCTCCTGACCACCAAGCCACAGAGAGGGCGGCTGAGAGGCATTCTAGAAGCTACATGTGGCTACCCAGGAGAGGTGGCAGGGTAAGGAGGGGGTGGATGACTTGAGACACCCCCCATCAACCTTGCATTCTCTCAAGATACACCAGAAGAATCTGATCATCAGGTACACATACATAATAAACCCAGAAACCACATTATAAGCATTATGTCCATTTCTTCATGAGAAAAAAAGTCGCTCCTGAGAACTTTGTATTGATACACTCTTGGCATTATTCTGAGTGTAGGACACACTCTACAGAATGAGACGGGGTCTCTGCCCTAAGAGAGCTCAGTATCCACTCCTGCTGAAGGTGTGGGCACATCCATCCACCTTTATTACTAGGAGGACAGAGGCAAGGATTGTTTGGGAAGCTGAGAATCCATATATGAGGTTCAGTCCACCAGGCAAGGAATCTGGCTTCCTCACACAGAGACTCACAGAACCAACCCCTTGTCCTGAAATTATGAGCCCACTGGTCCACCTGAGAGGTAGTTTCAAGTAGAAGACATCCCATGGCCTTAACTATCTTCATCCAGGACACGAAGTCTCCTGCTTGTCCCTTGATGGCTGGATGACCCTGGACAAGTCATGTAACATCCCCTGGTCCTAGTGTCCTCCTGTGAAGCTGAGGTGAAGACACATCCCCTTTAGCATTGCTGGCAATAGCACACGAAATCATGTATGGAAAGCCTGCCACTCAGTGTTGGAAGAGAGTCGGTGCTTCCCCATGACCCGCTCAGAAAAGGCACCAGCCAGAGATGAATAGGGCATGCTGGTTAGAGCAGAGCCTGTGGAGATGGGCTGCCTGGGGTCATCAGCTGTGTTTCCTCTCTGTGCTAAAACGTCCCATCTACATGATGAGGATAATAATAATCTGTGATTTGTAGTGTTTTGGAAGTTTGAATTACTACACAGCAAGTGCTTAGATCAGTGCATAGTAAGAATGGCATGTTTGCTTTTTTTTCTTCTAGAAAACACGTTTATGGGGATCATTGATCCTGGTGTAGCAATTTGTACAGAATTACACCTCCCAATCTTACATGGTATGCAAGAACACCCTGCTTACTACCAAGCACAGAGGAAGGTACATCAGCTGTGAATACAAACAGCCACTTTCAAAACAACCTATAGACTTGCGCACCCACACACAAACACCACTGAATCATGAACAAAACAAAATGACAATGACAATTGTAATATCCATTAGGGACAAAAAGCCCAAGACACTACCCAAGGCAGAAGTGTACCCTCTTATTCCCAGTTGTGTTGAGGGGCAGGAGCATTGCATCTGGACTCGTACAGACTTGGCTCTGACTCCTAGCTCTCTTAGCTCTGCTCTTCCTTAGTGGTCTGACCCTAGACAAGCCACTTCATTTGAGTTTCCTCCCCATAAAAGCCTTGGGGTGAAGTTGAGGGGAGTTCACGCCACCTGTCTCACCCGCACGTCACTGCCGCCTGGCGGGGACAACAGAACCCCGGCAGGCTCCGACTCCCTAGGGTTCCCAGCCTAACAGCCTGGGAAGCAACTTCCTTTTTCCTGCAGGAGATCCATGGGCTGTTGACTCCCCCCGACACCGAGACTTTCAAAGAGCAGCCTGAAAAGTGGGTGTTAAGAGGGCAGCTGCGGCTGAACTCTGGGAGATGCGAGCACCGGCCAGGGGTCCCTGACAATCCCACACTGTGTTTACTCTGCAGGGCATCTCCAGGCTTTTATAGCCATTTACTGGACAGGAGGGAATAGACAACTGGGCCCCTCTCTGGCCTCTGACTTCCACCGGCCTTTCCTTTGGAGAAAGGCAGCCTGAGTGCCTCCCACTCCAGCAATAGCTCTGACTCCGAGCTTCTGGAGGTGTGCAGGCTCAGCGCACAGCCCAGGCACACACAACCACTCGAGGGTGCAGAGAAAGGTCACCGGGGGCAAGGCTGGAGGCAGGAGAGATGGGGACAGTGGTAAAAACAGGGGCTGCCACCAGAACACAGGCTAGAAAGTGCGGGGACAGACACAGGGGCAGGTCAAGGAGGCAGACAGACAGGACTGGGCCAGCACAAGGGCCAGAGTGCCAGGAGACGAGAGTGTCGGGGGCGGGGGGCGGTGGCAGAGAGAGACACAAGTGCTCAGAGAGCAGGGCTGGGGCAGCAGGCGGTGCGTGAGGAGCCCTGCCCAGTGGGCTTACGTAATCTGCGGACCCTCTATTACTCCAAAGTGGTCCACAGGAAATCTGGGGATGAGGATCCCCAGTCAGAACCCACGTTTTCGCCCTAACCTGTGCATGCTTTCCAACAGCAAGCAAAAGAAGCACAATTTAGTTAAGTTAGGACGGGCTAAGATTCACATCTTATTTTAAAATGATGACAGCAACAATAAAAATACTCGGCTGAAATGCCATTCGACCAAGCCAGCTCCCCTAGAAAGTTAAAGTCAGGCGCCCCCATCCCAGCACACCCTGTACCTTTAAGGAGGAGAAGAGTTCCCTTGCTCCCGGCTGAAGAGGCAGGTTATTCTTGGAGACAGCGACGACTTACCTAAAACTGAGTTATTCCCCTTTCCTCCTCCGGCCAGCCTCTCTTCACTCTGGGGAGCTTTTACCATTTAAGGTCAATGTTACATCTGGCTCTGGAGCTTGGAGCTGAGAAGCCTCTGGCTGCCGAGCTCCGCTGCCCGCCTCCTCCAAGAGGGGCTGGGACTTAGAGCCCAGAGCTCCTCGGGGACCCCTCTGGCCCAACTCAGGGGGCAAACGGCTGGGAAGCTGGCCAGGCCATCCGAGGCTCAGTGCAGGCTGGGTCTGAGAGGCAGTGGCTGGCCCTGGGCCCCTCCCACGGGCACCCACACAGCGGAGGGCAGTGCCCACAGGCAGCTCATGCTGCTGGGCATGTCCCGGCCAGGCAGGGACCAAGACAACTCGGCCGATCTGCCTCCCAGCCTGGAGTCTCCAGCGAGCATGGACAAGACCCTGGCCCAGCGCCAGTGAGACTGGGAACATTTCCTGTCCCAGGGATTGGGAGGTGGGGGCTGCTCCCACCTTAAGCCCTTGGGATTAGCAGAGAGAAGGGCCTGGAAGATTCAGCTAATCCCAGACCTGGCACCAGCCCCAGGGCTTCAGCCCTTGCTCCTCCACTGAGTAGCCCTGTGGTCTTAACCTCGTGGAGCCTCAGTCTCCTCATCTCTAAAGTGGGGATCACTGGGATCACAATGTCTAACTCCTAAGGTTGTAGGAGGATTTGATGAGATGATACTGAAAGGCTTAGCACAGTGCTAGCATCTCAGACTTGCTGATCAACACCAGTGAGTTTCCTGCCCCTGCTCACACACAGGTGAGGGAGAGCTGCTCTCTCCCAAAGTCTACACCTTGCCCTTATTCACTCCTCACCACCTTGGGTGCAGCCCCCCACCCAGAGAAACATCATGGTACTGTGGGACCTGGCCAGTCACATGGGGGCTCCAGCCCTTTTCTGCAGTTTGAGGCAGCTCAGAGAAACCCTGAGCAGGACTGCCAGATAGAATGCAGGACACCTACTTAGACTTGAATTTAGTATAAATATGTCCCAAATATTGCACAGGACATGCTTATACACACACACACACACACACACACATGCTATGCTGTGGGTTTAATTGCTCAGTAGTGTCTGACTCTTTGCGACCCCATTAACTGTAACACACAAGGCTCCTCTGTCCATGTGGATTCTCCAGGCAAAAATACTGGAGTGGGTTGCCATGCCCTCTTCTAGGGCATCTGCCCAACACAGGGATCAAACCCAGGTCTGCCTCATTGCAGGTGGATTCTTTACCATCTAACCCACCAGGGAAGCCGAAGAATACTGGAGTGGGTAACCTATTCCTTCTCCAGGGGATTTTCCCAACTCAGGAATCGAACTGGCATCTCCTGCATTGCAGGCAAATTCTTTACCAGCTGACCTACCAGGGAAGCCCCATATATATGTGTATGTATATATATATATATATATATATATATATATATATATATATATATATATATATATAAAATCTGAATTTCTAATTTAATGAAATTTAATGGCTCATCCTGTACTTTTATTTGCTAAATCTGACAACTCTAATCGTGGGCCATCACTTACCACCTCAGAAAGTGCTCGCCAGTCATGCTGAGAGCTCTAGGTGTTGGTGCCTCAAGACGTGTGGCCTGAAGCCCTCCTGGTGACAGGTGTCTGACTGCATACAGTCTTTATCCTCAGTTCCTGGCTGTGGCAGGCTTTCTCCCCCAAACCTGGCCCCCTGGGCTTCTACCCCAGCCCCTTCCATAGACATCCAGTCCTGGACTGTCTCTTCTCCTTGCTTGTTACAAAAGAGACTCCTGATGAGACCATAGTACATGCTGTCTGTCAAACCCATAAATAACTGTATTTTTACAGATGGAACCAGAGGAGACTCCTGGGTACTAGCCACGCTTTCTCTCAGGCATCTACACCTATCCATCTACTGGGAACAGGCTCCCACTGGCAAAACCACAAGGTGATAGCTACTAGAACTGCAGGGATAGGGACTAGAATGAATTACCAAACTCTTTAGCGCTGTTTCTCCAACTTCATTGTGCAATAGAACCATCAAGTGTGAAACTCTCTGGACCTCTTTTCTAGAAATTCTAATCTTGTGGATCTAAAGTGAGGTCCAGAAACCTAAATTTTAATTAAGGCCGTCGGGTGATTCTTACTTATGCAGTTGGTCCAATAACCCCATTTTAGGGAATGGTACTCCAAAAGTTGATTTTATGAATCCAGCAGCAATTATTGCAAAGACAACTAGAAACTTGGGTTTGTGTGCATGTGAGGAAGGAGGTGTGAGTGTATGTCTCTGTGTCTATGTGTCTGTATGTGTTATATAAACCTTATATTGAACACCTACTATATTCCAATCACTATATTAGACACCCTGCATAAAAGCATGTACCTTCCTATGTGCCCCATGAAATGGAGCTATTATACCATTCTTTTGAAAAGGAAACTAAGACTTGAAGAGGCAAAAAGACTTGTCTGATGTTCCATAGCCAGTAAGCGGTAAAGTGAAGGAGTGAACTTAGGTGGTTTGGCCCTAAAAGTCTTCACCTGTACCATACTTCCTTCTCTTCAGCCTAATTTCTTAAATTAGGGTTTATGGATAGCCATCAGGAGTCTCTGAGCCAACTGAAATTGTGTGCAAAATACTGTCTGATTTCTGTTTTTCTTGGGTACAGGTCTATAGCTTTCACCAGACTCACAAAGGGGTCACCAAATAACAAAATCACTACATTAACACAAGCATTTCATAAAGTGCGTCACTGATGGACGTGTGAAACGAGCACGCTCTATAGAAGACAATTTAGCATGATCAAAATCACAAGGCTTGTATCCTTTGATCCAATTTCACACCTAAGAATTTATTTTGCAAACATATTCCCACACTTGGGGAAATGACAAATAAACATGATTATTCACTGCCGCTTTGTTTGTAAAAGCAGAAGGATTGGAAACAATGTAAGTGTCCACCAACTGGCAGCCATAAAAAATGATGGGTATAGCCACAGCAAAGGACGAGAAAGCCCTTTATGTAGTGACAAGAAAAGTCTCCAAGATCTCACAGGTAAATGGGAAAAGTAAGATAACAGAACAGTATAGATATATAAACACACACACAAATATGCGTACATTCACACATACATACTCACAAGTACATATGTGTGTGTATACACAACCTCTCTAAAATTAACACAAGAAACAAATAACATTAATTGCCAGACGGTGCTAGTGGTAAAGAAACCATCTGCCAATGCAAGAGACATAAGAGACACAGGTTCAGTCCCTGGTCAGAAAGACCCCTGGAGGAGGGCATGGCAACCCACTATAGTATTCTTGCTTGGAGAATTCCATGGACAGAGGAGGCTGGTGGGCTACAAACCATAGGGTTTCCAAGAGTCGGACACAACTGAAGTGACTTAGCATGTAGTAGCCTATGGGGAGGAAATCTAACTGGTTGGGGCAAAGAGTATACACTGTATATTTTATTTATACATTTAAAGTTTGAATCATGTGAATTAGTCACATGTTTACATTCAAAAATAGTAATGAAACAGAAGCGTTGCTAGAAACAGGGATTTAGTTAATTCATCTTCCAGCACTACCTCCCCCAAGCGTCAGAGTATTGGCATGAGCCTGACTAAAGGTTATTTTGGGTTTTTTACTTTTTATTTTTGAATAATTGCAGAAATGCAGGGGAAGTTCAAGAATAGTACAAAGAGTCTCATGTACACTTCCCCCAGCGGTAAAAGCATATATGACTATGGGAAAGCCAGAAAGTGGGCACTGGTACCTTATTGTTAACTAGATCACAGATTTTATTCTTTTTTTTGATTGGAGTATAGTTGCTTTATGCTGCCGTGTCAGTTTCTGCGGTACAGCACGGTGAATCAGCTATAGACACACATAGAATGTTCGTCGCTCAGTCGTGTCTGACTCTTTGCACCCCCATGGACTGTAGCCAGCCAGACTCCTCTGTCCACGGACTTCTCCAGGCAAGAATACTGGAGTGAGTAGTCATTCCCTTCTCCAGGGGATCTTCCCAACCCAGGGATCAAACCCAGGTCTCCTGCATTGCAGGCAGATGCCCTACCATCTGAGCCACCACATATATCCCCCTTTTTTGGATTTCCTTCCCATTTAGGTCACCAGAGAGCATTGAGTACAGTTCCCTGTGTTGTACGATGGGTTCTCATCAATGATCTATTTTATGCATAGTAGTGTATACTTTAATTCTTTAATAGTACTTAATTAAGTACTACTTAAAAGTACTTTAATTCTAAAAGTTATTTTAAAAATACAGCCTTCTCACAGCTCACACATTCAGTTAAAATGTTTTTTTGGGTGTGCCAGACTAGAGTTGGCTGATGGGATGTGGTAGGGACACTTCAGAGCCATCCCTGCCCACATGCGGTGTAGACCAGAGAAGGTGACCCCTTACTTAAACAGTAACAGTATTTGGAGGCCTGGGACCCAGCAGTATACAAGGAGTGTTGACCACACTCTAAAAAAGGCACTGTGTCCTTTGCTGTCCTGGTCATGGAGCTTCACAGCTTGCCTGAAAGCTGACTTTTAATCCTTAAAAGAGCATGAGCAATTACTTGGGCTATATTTATCCTTGTTCCTGGAGCCACACAGGGATTTGGCCTCACTTTACCCAAATCTCCAGCTCATCCATCACTCACTCCCATCAGAGACAATCACATCCTCAACATCAAAGCGGTGGGCCAACGGAGGCACACTGGCACACGACTGGGGGAAGCGCTCCCCGCAGGCCCTCTGACTCAGAGCCAGGGAAGAAGTTTAAAAGTTCCAGGCCAAAAGCACATCTTGGGGCTGAGGGAAGCCAAGCCAGGAGAAGCAGAAGATTGCCAAGAACTCTGCCGGCTCAGGGACTGGGATGACCTCACTGGGAGTATTGGCCTCCCCGCCCCTTTTATATGTAGGGACTCTGTGAAATGCCCAGTACTTAGGAGGCCCTGGATGAGTAAGTGAACAGATAAGTGGCCAAATTGGCAGGAATGGCATCCAGGTACCAACGCAAGGGACAATGACAGGTGTCAT